GAGACCGCTAGAGACTGGATGCTGGTAGATGTAAACAAACATGGCGGACGTCGACTACGTCTTCAAGGTTCTCGTACTTGGAGACAGTTCTGTTGGAAAATCAAGTCTTATTAAGAGATTTCACTCAAATGTGTTTGATCAAAGACTTCCAACGACTATTGGAGTCGACTTTTTTATCCATGACCTTGAAGTAGACGGGAAAAAAGTCAAGGTACTCATTTCCCGCATTTTCTTTGGTGTGCCAATGTAACATGTGTAAGCTTATTACAAACCTTTTTTTTAATTTAAGCCTCAAGATTTAGGAAACTAAAGGAGTTTTCGCATCAGACACTAGAATCGTGACATAAAAAGCTCACATCATGTGCAGGCGTACATTAGTTCATCTGAAACGCTAATTCGTGAATTTTGCAGTGTTAGCATTTTACAGCATTTTAGTTAAGGACATATTAAGCTTATGGGATGACCTGACCGCAAGCTGTATTAAAATTTCTCATTACTTATTTTCAGATCTATAAAATCACATGTATCCGTCCATGAAAAAATTAGTATTTAAAGAAGTGTAGTAGAGTTCCATGACATGACGTAAGTGTCTCGATCTCTCAGCTTTGCAGAGTACTAAAAGTTATCGTACATTGGGAAATATGAGAAAGTCTCCTTAAACTTCTCATGTTAAAATGCCTAGAAAGAATGTCCAAAAAAAAAACTGTATATTTGGGGCTTACAACTCTCAGTAATAAAGAGAAGTCTGATTTCAGCATCAGTTACTGCAAATGCCCAATCTTCACCCCACCCCCACTCCCTCCGGTGCTTAGTGGGGCAATTGGCCATTTCCAAGTCGCCTTTTGCCTCTTTGTCAAAACGAGTCTTTGTGTGAAACCATTCATATGAAAATGTGTTCCCCTAGAGGTTCATTTTCATGTAACACTACTGTCATATGAAAGGTTTTGCCCAAGGACTGGTTTTGAAACAGAGGCAGAAGGGAAATGGCCTACTGTAAATCCTCAAATTAGCA